GGTACTGTCAATCATTTCCGAATTTCCGTTCGAATTTCATCTCGCTTGGAAATGATTATGTTTTTTGCATTAGTTAGTGGTTTCCCTGTGAGCAAGCCCTTTTCGCAAAGGTTTAAAGAAGGTTCATTTCTAATAAACAATCCATCGATCTATTATTGTCCTTTCGCCATACTGTTTTTTTGAAAGGGGTTGGCTCGGCCCTTTCATATTTCTTTTAATTGGTTTCTAACTTTTTACTGGTTTCAAGGCTCGTGCTCTTAGAAAATCATTCTTATGAAAAAATAGTATAACTGCCTACTATTAGGTGCCTAATTGCCGTCCCCCCATCCGCTAATTAATTATTGAAAATTTGTCCAATTGATTTTGGCACTTTGTGTTAATTATTGTAGTGAAATATGCGTAACACAGGCTAAATATTGTCGATGATAAATAATAGCTATATAATAGTGAAATAAGTGTACTTACTTATTTTAAATGCATTTTGAGTGTTCAGTATATGTAACTCACAACTTAGACCCCTCTGGTAATTGGAACCCCCCCCCCCCAATTAATTTTGAACATAACATCCATCCCCTCCCATTTATTCCGACCCCCCAGCAATTAGGCACTAAATAGAGAGTAGCAATGGCTACTAAATAAAAAATAGATTTTTGGCATCATGTAAACCTTTCTGATATCTACTGAACTTGACAGTATGTACATTTTCCCCGTTTTATCTTCTTCCCCATGATAGGCAGCCAAAATGTTTTACATTACTTTAAGTTACGTCTCAATAGAAGGAATGAGTATATAAATTTCTCTAAAGTTTGGTGCTGTAAATTGTCATTTATCTTTAAGAAAATGGATACAGAAAAGACAAACAAAACAGTTGTGGAGGAGATGGATGTCCTTAGTCTTGACTATGAACATTTTTGTTTTTTTAATTATTCCACTGAGAGGCATGTTTCCCTTAGCAATGCTAGTGTGAATCTCACAAGTTCTTAACTTTGCTTAAATTCACTTTTTCCACCCCATTGCTTGGACACTTAACTTTGTTGCAATCAATTGATAGTATGTCAAAACTGATTATTCTAAATTGATATTTGGGTTTGAATTTTGTTTAAGACGGATTAGAATTGCACATTTTAATATCTTCATTTAGCGTAATATAGAACCTACCATACCAGCAACAGATTGGCACAGTCAAGCGCCATTTTGCTTGATTTTATTTCACTTTTCTCAATTGCCTAGCATGAATAATAATAAAACAGTGATTTTAAGCATCGTTTTCTGACTTTTTGAAATTTAGTCAGTTTGACTACAATAATTTGACCCAACCAACCGTTACTCTCTACATCTCAGAAATAATTATATATTTTCAAAATATTTTTTATAGTCTTTTGGTATAAATTTTCCCTTACCTTCCAGGAGGTTGAAAACGGAGAAAGTTGCGCGGAGAAAAAGATGGTACGATCGCAATCATGTGTACTATTTTGCATGAAAAAAAATCAAATTGTTCATTTTGTTGATATCCTTCTTAGTCAGGCTAGAATGTACGTCAGTCGTAACTGGATGTACTACTTGAGTTAATTTTAGGCTGGACTTTACTTTGTTTGCAATTTCACTTCTTATCACAATATTCTTTGAACATTACGCTCTGTTGCACTCAATGAATATTGCATCAAATTTGATCATTCTAAATTGATCTTAGGGTTTAAGTTGTCTTCAAGACGATTTTGAATAGTAGATTTCAGTGCTACTATACTAGCAAATTAAAAGATTTTAATTTTTTCATTTAACAGTTTTGATATTTAGTCAGTTTGACAACAATAATTTTACCCTATCAACCGTTACTCTCTACGTCTCAGAAATAATTATATATTTTCAAAATACTTTTTATAGTCTTTTGGTATAAATTTCCCTTACCTTCCAGGAGGTAGAAAACGGAGAATCCTTGGCGGGGGAAGAGAAGGTATGATCGCATTCCTCTTTATTAATTCACATGAATTTTTAGGAGCAGTGATTTTTAGAATAATATTATGATTTTTGATGATATCTCGTCAGTTTGATAACAATAATTGTACCCTATCAATTGTTACCCTTCGTGATGATAGGCAGCTTAAAAAAGGTTGACTGTTTGCGTTACAAATTTTGGAATATCTTTAAGGAAGTGGAAAAGAAAGTAAAAATAAAAGAGAGCAGCAGGTGGAAGTTGTCGTTGGGGGCAAAAGGAAGGTATGATCTCATGACTTTGCATTATCTAACAGGAGTAAGAAACCTTTGCTCATTTTCTTATTACCTGTGCCTTTTGAAAAAATTTACAAATTTTATTTCTACTTTTCCAATTTCATTTTCACTTTTCGACTGTTCAATATGTCTATATAAAGCTAAATGTTCACCACCCAAACATATTGGCTCCTAAAACTACTAAAAGCTTGCGTTTTATTCGTAAATCTTGACCTTTATATTTGACAATTTCGGTATATTTTGCACCCTCTCTTCTTGATGTTGTTCTACAACAACACAACGGAAATCAGAAATAACGGGGGAAAAATACCTATAGACATTACAAGAGGACATAAATGTCTAAATTGAATATAAAGAAACACTGGCATATTTTTCTAAGAGCCCTGAAACATATACCTGCAATGGAGACCTTGTTCAATGTGTCACTTGATGTCGCTTCAAATTGAAATCGTGTCCACCATTTTTGAAAATGCACACATTATTCAAAGTGAGGCTAGAATTGTTCCTGATGGGTGGTTGTCATAGAAATAGGCACCCCCCTATTGGTTAACAAACTAATCAGCATAAATTATCATCTCATTTTCAAATTATGCAATTTTTCTTCTGTTGTTCAGGAACAACATTGCAAAATAAAGGGTTTATTTTGGTCTAGACAAGCTTTGTTTGAGCATTCAGAATCTTGTTGGTACTTGTAGGGAAATGAAAGGTGACGGACAAACCTTTCAGTTTCAATGCCATAGAAATTGCATGTACCTGTGATTGGATCCATGCAATTCATTTTTGCCAGCTGCAACTTTGCGTCAAGATACCTACATAATGGGATATGTTTCAAAACATTTCTAATTTCGACAGACGTCATATTAATCAAGATATCTCTAAAACGAACATTACAAACTTGACAAAGCATCAGCTAGTGATCAATTGGACATGTATTTATTAACCTGAATTTTCTTGCGTCTGATGTGTACGTTCCAAGAGGACATTATTTGTGAATAATCAGAAATGCAGTTTGCATATGCAGAGTTCAAACTGAAGTATCTATAACATTTTCCAGTTTTATTTTGCTTTTCGTTATTTGCTCCAAATTGTCAGTCTCTTTTATATCCTCAGTAATGAGGGTTGTCTCCATTACAGTTTTTTCATCAACTTCTACCTTTGTCTTTTTTTATTTTTGAAAAGCCTCTGCAGCTCGGCCATAACTTCCTCGGGATCTCCAACTTTCAAGTGGTCTCTTGCGCGATTTGTTTGTTCTGAGTGGCTGAATCTCTTCATTTGATGGTGGACTGCATGGCTTTTGTTGCCTGTTCTTTTGTACCAAGTGCTTTGGTTCAGATGTGCTTAGGAAAATGCAGTTTGTTTCATCCTTCCGCATCGAACTATCCATCGTCTTCAGAATAATCTCAAGATTGTTATTAAGTTCCATTAATTTGGCCTTGTTGGGACACTGGTGAATTTGAGTTTCTACCTTTGAGATGCATGCCCTACTTATAGAGCTTCATTTTTGTCAGTTAGCATGAGGGTCATCACTAGAGTTGGTACTTTCTTCACCGATCGCCGTTGGCATTCATGTTGTTGAAAATTTCTCTTCATAAGGGCTGTCGTCTTTTTTTCAACTTGCAGGATACTTTGGTCGATCTTCAAGAAAGATTGATCAAGATATTTTTAAGGCAGGCTGCTCCAATCAATGTGTTTGCAATATGTAGATAGAACATGTGTTTGCAAGGCAATTTGTTCTGGCACCAGTCCGAACACTCACATTGGGGAATCCCTTAACTGCACTTATTATGAATAAGTCTCACACCCCGACAAAGATTTTATTTCAAAAATCAGACTTGTCTTATCTGCCAATATAATGCTGCTATCCCTAAAAGAGTCCGTTACGACATTTCTTACAGGAACCAAACAGTGCTGAATAAATGCTTTTGGACGATTTTGCAAGTATGATGGAATGTTTTGTCCATAGGATCTAATTCCATTAGATTTTTGTGCCTTAACAATTTCTGTTAGATACTCCCGATACTGATATGGCAAGAAGCGTTCAATTATCAAGTCAGTAATGCAATATTCTTTAAACATTTGTATTTTAATAACTTGTTCAATGGTTCCGCTCCATTGTTCGTATTGATATTTCTTCATAATTCCTTTTCTCTAAATGCATGCATCCAAGGCTCTTGACAAGAAAGCCACCATTGATTATTATATCTTTGAGAAAATAAATTAGATTTCCACACCTCTGGTGCTCTGAGTGTCTCTACAGCTTTGTTAAAAAGTTTGCAAGAAGGGCCATTCGAATTATTTGGTGCATCAGCAATCAGATGTAGCTGTTTTAGTAGCTCCCGACATTTAATACACAACAAACTGGATTCTTTCTTCTTTTCCAGCGTTTCCATGCTTGTTCTCTATGGAGTGCACACATTAAAACTCTTGTGTTGCACTCCTTAAGATGGAGGATAGGTCGAAAATCTGAAATTTTTTTGAAAAAATGCAAAATCGGTTTTTCCCTTGATTATAACATTTTACTATCAGAGAATAGAAAAATAGCAACAAAGTACCTTATTTTTTACTTTAAGACTGTCTATTTAAACTTTTTAATCAGTTGGTTTGGTAATTTTGACGTCAAATTACGATCAAAATCTTTCAGTTTCGTGACTTCCTATCAAAAGATTTAGGTCTACTTTTCCCGATACCCGGATATCATTCGAAAGCTCATTTTTTGCTTTGTTTGATTTTCCCATTATATTAGTATTCAAACTAACAATCAACCTGTAATTTGCCTTTGTCAAAGTCTACTTAGACAATAAACTTCAAAACGAGACTTAGAACATTGCATCTGATTGGCCAAGGCCAAAGATAGTGGTCATTGATTGGTTCGTTGGATCAGCTGATTTCAGCTGTCGTTTTAGTCGACTAAAGTCTGTGGTTTCGAACAAGTGTGTTCCAACTATTTCTTCGATATTATACCTTTTATTCCTTGTCATGGGCAAGATAAATTTCCAGTGCTTCAAAGGCATTCGGAAAAGGAGACAGATAAAAAAGATTGTTATTCGAGAGGCCATCGAAGAGGCAACTTCAACGAATGAATTTAGGCCTATCACACCCTCATTTTCCACGCCAACAATGAGCGCAAAAAAGCTTGAAGCATTTGGCCTTACACTTGAAAGTATGCAGGATGAAATAGTTGGGATGGAGAGTCAGATTCAAATGGACAATTGCTTTCTGATTGTTAGTAAGCAATGTTTGAACAAGTTATTTGTTGAACTTTGCTGCCCAAACTGTAACCAGACTGGCGTAATCTTTGACACTGTGAAGGGGAAATGGTATGGGATTTTGTAGCAAGGCCTTCACTTACTGTAGTCTCTGTCAGTCAAAAATTAGCCAGGAGAACTTAAGCAAAAGAGTGGACCGATCAGAATCGACACAGAAACCATTTGAAGTTAAAGTTCGATCAGTGTTTGCATTCAGGGGTATTGGGTGCGGCTACAATGCAATAAAGGACTCGGCCAGCATGATGAATCTTCCAAATAGTCCCAGGTCAGCAGTGCTTGTCAATGGAGACCACCATTGTAGAGTACAATGAAACAATTGGAAAGCAAACAGACCCGATAAAAGCTAAAAGAGCTTTCGAAGCTATATGGAGATAATAAGGTTTTTGTTCACTTAACCAAGATGTTGTGCATACGGTGTCAAAGGGAAAGTTCTTGACTCCAAAGCATGCTTCACATTCTTACTGGTCAAAAGCAGCCAATCACAGTTTTTGCCAGATTGAGCCATTGCATAACGTTGCAGTCCAGACATGATAGTTCCTCGCAATTTTATTAATTTTCTACAGAATGGAGAAAACAGAACCATGCACATTAATTCAAAGAGCGATAAAAGAAGCCAAAAGTTAGTTACAAGGAAAGACCGTCCTCTTTTCCAACGAAAACAATTGCACTAAAGTGACGGAAGATGAAGTTGTCATAGATGAAAGAATGAAGAGCAATCACAAAGAAGCATATACAAAGCTGATTGCTTTAATGAAAGCAGCAAACCTAAGGAATGGGGATTCTGTCAGATCACCTTCCTTCCGGGGATATCAATGTCTTATCCCTCTTTGTTGACCTTGATTTTGCGGGAAATCAAGTATTGATTGATAACGGAACAGGTCTAAATAAGAAAATTGCAATTTTAGCATCTTCAACACTGTGACATTAAGAAACAAGGAGAGCACTAATCGGTCTTCTTGCTTTTTCAGGAAAAGACTATGTTTCTATTTTTTTGAAAAGGGAAAATAGCTTTTTTAGAGACAAATGGCAAAAAGATAGATTACCTAAATATATTTACGAATCTGGGGACCACACTTCAAGTACCGAAAAAGTTGAGAGGGGATTGGAAAAGTTTATATACGTATTTTATGGAAACGAAAGGATGCAAACGGTAAACGACGTGAGGAAGAAATGTTTTTGCAGAGTTTACAAATGAAAAGAAAATAACCGATTTAAGCTTGCTGCCACCTTGAATTTAAAGCTCAGAATCAGCGATCAAGTCGCTTAACGGTGGATATGGACAACCCAGCTAATCATGGATGGGATGAAAGCTGATCAGTTGTTTGGAGTGATGTATGCTACCCAGCTGATGTCGCAGAGCTGCTGAATAACGAAATTGTGTCTACCGATGATAGATGATTTGTAGAGAAAACGATTTTAATGAAGATATCATTGATTTATACAATGAATCATCATAATAAATCCACAAAATATACATTTTCTATACATAGATTGGAGGAAACTGGTTTGATAGATTGATAGATGATTTATAGGGTAGTTGAATTTTATAGCGGCTAATGCTCAAAAGTGTTTTTTGAATACGAGACTTTGTTATGAATTGGAGCCAAAAAGACCCCCAAAAGACCTTAAAACATTATTTTTAGAATCAGTTCACCGTAATTACCCTATTGCGCCAAATTTGGAAAACTTCCTTTATTGGGAGGAATCTTATGACGCCGCTTCTGTCCTTTTGCGTGAAAACGAGATTTAAACAAGGAATTGAGGCCAAACGCCTCCTTATACGTACTTATAATATCGAATTTTGGAATCAGCATTCTAAAATTATCTAGATCCAATGAATTTTAGATATTTCACCGAAGGGTTGACCCTTAAAAAGCAACTTGCTCTATTTTGATTGAAAACGAGACTTTGGTATGAAATAGAGGCTGAAGGCCCCCCCCAACTTGCCCGTATAACATCGATTTTCGTAATCAGCACCCCAAAATTACTCAAACCCACCTAACTAGAATTACTTCCCCGAGGGGGGACCCTACCCCCATTCTCCGCCTGGTCTAAAAGGTCTAAAGCATTTGACTCGGTTCTTGAGGCTAAACCATATCGCAATAGTGTTACTATTGTTAAAGAGGAATGTATTAACCATGTATCAAAAAGAATGGGAACTGCCTTAGTCAACCTCCCGCAAGAATGCAAAGCTCAAAAGGACTCCATATCAGGAAAGGGAAAGTTGACCAGAGCAAAGATGCTCAAAATTCAAAACTATTATGGACGGGCAAAACTATTTTGCAATCTTATTTCATTTAACATCCACTGATGAAAACCCTAAGCATGTCCACTGCCCACCAGGAGAGAATTCTTGGTGTTTCTGGCAACAAGCAGTATCTAAAAATGAAAATTCTGGGTCACATAAAGAGCATGAAACAATCCCAGAAGATGTTGGCAAAAAGCTTGTTCCAATATTTCAGCGACTGACTGATGAACGTTTGCTAAAAAGGTGCATCAGAAGCAGAACACAAAATCCAAATGAGAGTTTGCACGGTCTTCTTTGGAGATTTTGCCCAAAAATAACATTTGCTGGTCGTCATATGGTTGAAATTGCAGCACGAATGGCATTGTGTCAATTTACAAAGGGAGCAACCTTTCGTCTAACTCTTTGTAAATTTCTAGGTATTGAGCCTGGCCACCACATGACTGAGGGGACATTAAAAAAGTCAATTGAAAGACTTAAAAAAGCTGTCAAAGCATCTTCTACCAAAGCAAAGCAGAGAAGGAAAACTATTAAATATGCAAAAACGTCCAAAGAAAAAGCCAAGATGACGAAAGAAGGCAAAACGTACAAGGCTGGACTCTTTGAATAAAATCTTTTTTGAAAAAAATGTTTTGGAAAAAAAAACAATAAAATAAGATGAACAAATTTAAAATTAAAATTTAGGAAAATCATAGTAGCTAGAGCAAAACTTTAAACTTCTCTGCATCGATCAACAAATGCCCTAGGTGGTTATCTAGGTTTTGATCACAAATCATGTCTCCGGTACACAGAGTTGAATATTTCAATAATGACAAGGCGCACAGGTCTGAAACACTTCAAAAACATTTGTTAACAACCTACAAAAAATTTTTCCAAATATATTTGAAAATCACGTGACTAGTCTATATTTTACAGACCAGTTTGCCAGAACAGTGCTTTAACTTTGAGAAAAGATTTGAAACAAACAGAATGTTGTATTTCAACAAACAAGGTACCAAACAACTTGCCGAGATAATGTTATCTGAATGAGCAGAGGAATTTCTCCTCCAGGTAACGGTTGCCATGGAAACCCCCCAAAAAGTCTTTTTTCCAGGTAGATCAAGAGTTACACGTGATATCAGAATTTTGTCTGCTTATTCTAATGGTAACCAAAAAATAATGTATCATAGAAAATTTGAGTCAAATATCTCACATGGTCACAGAGATATTTTTCTTAAAGTCAAAAATGGCTAATTTCAAAAACGGCATTGAAAGTTTCATAAACAACATTTTATGATCATTGTTATTTATACAACAGAACTTAGCTTTTTATCATACCTGATATGCTTTAAATTGTGCCCCACTTCTAAAAAAGACAATTTAAAACCTGCTGTCCTACTTTTTGGCCTTTTTTGGCCTGTTGGCATGTTCAACAACCAAAGGGATATTTTTTTAATTGACAAACGTTATGCCAGTATCTCCAGTTGATGCCAGTTTGTTCTTTGGGGCCTTTTTCTTGTTTTCTGGACAATCAGGAACTTTGTGGATGCTAAATCCACCAGCCAAGTAATCTTGCCCTGTTTTTGTACATTCTTTTGTTTTTCTTCTTAAAAGTCTTCTCTGATTTAGATATTTGCTTTTACACTTCTGCGCTGCATTGATCAAGCGTTGGTTATTGAGCCAGCGACAACCTCTTAGTGTGTTGACACCTGCATCATTGATTCCAAATCTGTTGAGTATGTCTGAAACTGCACCAGAACCTTTGTTCCATTGTAAAACAGCAGCTGCTGTTGCTGTCTCTAACCTTCTTCTGTCACAAAAAACTCTCTTTGGGCATTTCTGCCATAACACGTTATTAAGAGACTCATTTTGATTTTGTGTTAGTCCTCTTAAGCAGCGGCGGAGCAGACTTTCACTTGATAATCTTTTGAAGATTGGATGCAATTCCTTTCTAAAAACAGAAGGTAGGCATTTAGCTCTGTCATAGCTCTTTGTGTTCAGCACAATGTCCTTTTGATATTTGCACCAGCTGTCTCTTCCCTTTGGACAATATTTGTGCGGCTCTTCAAGGGTTTCTCCACTTCCTTCTATTGAGTGAAAATAGATAGCCCACACTGAATTTTGCATTTTTTCTAAATTATTTGTGTTTGCTCTTATGGCATAACCATAATAATTTTGAAAGGAATCAATGACAACATCAGTCAGCCTCCCTCTCCCACCAACATTGCCACCGTCAGCCAGCTTCAAACCTTTGGCACCTTTCTTATATGACCTCAAGCCATTCCCCATCCTTTTCTGTATATGACCAATGCAATCCTCCTTCAAAACCAAATATTCAGGGCCATATTTTTGGAACACAGCATCAGCCACAACTCCATATGAAGATGAATCTCCATCTCCAACATATGTTGTGTACTTCAAATTGTGCTTTGCAATTGACCGTAGAAACATTTTCACTGCAGCATCCTTTTCCATTGATTCAGCAGAACCGTAATGGTTTATCTCACAAACTGGCCTATGACTTTCCCACCATGTTTGATACTCTGCTGATGCTTTTTTGTGCTCTTTTGACTTGCATTGGAAGCACACTTTAGACCTTATTTCATAATCTAGTACCTCCCCAGTATCAATGGCTACCACAAAGACAACACCATGAAGTGATGAGTATCCATATCGCTTTTGCCAAGTGCCATCAACAGAAACACTGACCTCAAATATGTCAGAAAGAGGGTCCAAATCTTTGCAGTTGGGATCTTTCTCTTTTACCATATTCTTGAGATTCAGTGCAGCTTTTTTGAGTGATGCATCAGCCTCATTTGAGTAGCAACATTCACACTTTTTCATCAAGTCATTATATGCTGCATGCGAAAGTGGTAACGGAAGGTCAAAAGCAGTGGAAAGCTTTTGCAAATTTGTCAGCCCAAGACCAGTCTCAATACCAGCTTGAGCACACCTGAAGTTTACTTCTGAGGACTTTCCAATGGCAGTTTTCATTCTTGGGCTTGTGTGAAAAAGTGTAGTGTCTTGGCAATTTGTACACTTAAGAATAAGCTCTTCATCCAGACCTACTCGTTTGCGATCAGCTTGTAAGAGAATAAGCTTGCCTTTGGGACTTTTGCAAGAGCCACAGATTGCTGCTTGGGAGAGAGCATGTTGCAACTTGTTGGCTTTCATGAGTTTGAAGCCATGTGCGTCTTGGATATAAGATTTCTCATGAACCATTTTTCGTCTTTTCATTGCTATCGATTCTAACCCAAGTGATTTTGCTCTTTTCCTCGTTAAAACCTGACTTCTCTCTTTTTCAAAAATTGGACAGTTTGTTGAGATCTTTTCAAGAGATCGGTTTGCTTCGTCAGCTGTCTTAACGGGAGTCGAAGTGGATGGGCCTACATCAGATGTCATGCTTTCATTCCTGTTCTCGCCATTATCTTCCCTTTCAATTTCTTGCCTTCTTTGACCACCAAATCCTCTTCGCTTTTTACGGTACTTCGAGCTATTTTTCTTACCAACCATATTTAACAATATTGGTAATTTGAAGTTTAAACCTTAGTCTTGTTCTCTCAACCGATTCTACAGGATACACGCAGTTTTACATTTCGTGTTCACAATTACTTCATGTCAGAACTAACAATTAGCACCAATTGAATTCAGTTCAATGAACGCAAGGTAATATAAGGGTGGCTTGAAAAAATAATGTGGGGTTCGACAGTCAAGAAAACCCCATAGCAACCAACTAAACATGGTTGCTAAGCAAAAAAATTCCATATGCCCTAACAAAATTTTATTTTATGGCTAAATAAGAGTTGAAACTGGCAAAATAAAAGTGTGACAATAAAGTTCGATAGTTTTTTTACCTTCTGAAGCAAAAAACTCAAAACTTTTGAAAAACAGATTTTCAAGTTCAAAAACCTAGATAACTACCATGCATGTTAGCAAAGCTAAGTCTCTGTAGTGGGAAAAAATATTAACTCTTCCTTAGAAAACCTTTTTTTAGCATTGTATCCACGTTTCCATGACAACTAAAAGCTATTTTTAGAAACTAATTTCAGATTTGAAATCTGCACATCAACATTAATCATGGTACCAAGTTTCAGCTTTCTAGCTTTAACAGTGAAGAAATTAGGTTTTCGACCTATCCGTAAGTTGACTGTTTGCCAATACATTTCAACATTATTTATCAAGAATTCATAAGTCATGAATGGAAATGGGAGACTCTCTTTGCTTCCATCTATGCCACTTTTCATCGGCTACCCTATCTTGTTACAAAAAAGCCTGAAGGTATTGCTGCGTTTTAATCAAAGTGCAATACAATATCATTAACATGAATTATGAACATTAATAGACTATTCAATAGAAACTAGGCACAATCCCCAGAATTTCAAAATAACAGCTTGTTAATTGGGTCTTGCTGAAGTTTTGAGAAGCTTGGATTTCATTGGTAGATTTGAAAATTTCTAATTTGCATAAGAATAGGAGAGTAAAGGTAGTACTAAGAATATGCACTATGTATAGAGTAGGCTAAAAAGCAATGTCTCTGGGTTGTATCCAATCCAACACACGGTGCTCGAAAAGGATTCCAGTACTGAAGCTAGAAGTTAAGTACTTTCACCCACACTCAACAGACACTGAGCAATAAGGGTTCCGAGGGTTCCAGTACTGAAGCCTTATAGAATGATATTTAGGTTCCAGTAGTTAAGTCTTATAGTTCCACCCACACTCAACAGACACTGAGCAATAAGGGTTCCGAGGGTTTCGAGGGTTCCAGTACTGAAGCCTTATAGAATGATATTTAGGTTCCAGTAGTTAAGTCTTATAGTTTCACCCACACTCAACAGACACTGAGCAATAAGGGTTCCGAGGGTTCCAGTACTGAAGCCTTATAGAATGATATTTAGGTTCCAGTAGTTAAGTCTTATAGTTTCACCCACACTCAACAGACACTGAGCAATAAGGGTTTCGAGGGTTCCAGTACTGAAGCCTTATAGAATGATATTTAGGTTCCAGTAGTTAAGTCTTATAGTTTCACCCACACTCAACAGACACTGAGCAATAAGGGTTCCGAGGGTTCCAGTACTGAAGCCTTATAGAATGATAAGTCTTTTAGTTTCACCCACACTCAACAGACACTGAGCAATATGGGTTTCTCAGGGTGCTTCTTGCTATAAAGGCACTTTGGCTCAAGCCATGATCGTCGGGTATTTCGCAATTGCGGTCCTCATTAGGACCATACACCGATGCAGAAGGGAGCCAAATTAATCAAGGATTTGACGATATTATTTTCATTTATCCTTCCTTTCATTATGTATAACTCTTACGCGACTCTTTTCTGTAAATAAAATAACTTTGAAACGATATATTATGGGCGACAGAGAAAAATAATAATTATGAATTCAAAAATACTACGTCACTTCAACCAAAATCAAATAATCTACACGATACAATACAATACAATACAATACAATATACTATAATGTCCTCTTAATGCCTTTTTCGTCTGAATGCAACAGGCCTCCTTTGTTGTCTCTCCCGCATGCAGTCTATGCAGAACCTGATAGATGAAAAAATTACTTTGATAATCGTAATCGTCTGCCAATCATGTGATAATAACAGTATAGATATATAACCAAGATAAAATAATAGAACTATTGATTTGACTAAAGGAGAGTTTAGTTACTAACTAGGAGTATTTCCTTATATCAATAAAATTGCCTAGAATCGGCACCGGTTTCAAATAAAGAGCACCCAATAACAAAACCCCCACTCCTACCGTATATTGAAAGCAAAGGGTGAGAAAATTGACTTTGGCTAAGTGTTTTGGCTCTGAACTTTATGAACCAAGCCAAACAAAAAGAGATCTGTTAGCAAACTGTATATATAAGGTATTTTCTATGATTTTCTTCTAGGCCATGTGATCTTAATCCACACATTCTTAAACTAGATTTTTGTAAGGTAATACTTGAACCATATTATGATGACCTTGGAAGTTCGATCGAAAAATCATTCAATTCTGGGATTTTTTTCAACTTGACTTAGAATTTTTGCGGAATTCAATTCAATCAAATCTGGCTGGGCTGGTCACACTGGCTTGGCTTTAAACTTAAACTTACCAGTCTTCGCTTTTGGGTGGCTTTTCGGACATCCCAACACATTCCATATGGAACCATTTGCTTCCTGGACACTAGAAAAAAGATTGGAAATGTAGTGAGAAACATTTTTGATTGGTAAACATGAATGCATATGAGTTCATTACGAGTTGTGGGGACTAGGGGAGGGTGCTGCCTTGAGGCCAGGAAGTTTACAACACAGGCTGCAAGGTAAATAGTTTTTTGAGTAACAGTAATTATGTTTCAATCTGAATTCAGCTGCGTGATAATTGCTGAAGTATAAAGCACAAAGAAAATTGCACTTTCCTGATGAATATAACAAGCATTTTTTGCTACTAGGATACATCTTTAAACATGTAATAGAATTTGATACATGTTAAAGTCAGATATAGTGAATCATGAACACGTTGCCAATATGTCATGATGTCAAGATGTAATGAGACTTACATTTGCTACGTCACCTGAACATTCGATCATGATCCATTTTCTCCCATACCTCCTCTACAATTATGAAAGATATAAATTGACTATTTTGTCAAAGTTAAATTACACAATCATCGACATATGGCTGTAAATGGCTTGAACTTTGTATGATCTAATTGATGTTAATCAAAATACCTTGTGACAAATGCAGAATTTATATAGTTTGCTTTCTTTTTCTTTCTTTTGTTTTTCATCTGATGACATTTTTTCTAAAAAATATAGTTTCATTAAAAATGATAGAGCATATAAGCAAATTGAAAAATGAAATTTTTATAACCTGATGTTTCTAGACAGAAAGCATAATATATAAAGTGTAGTTAGCTACAATATTTGAAGCTATTGCTGGCAAAGGAAACTCTACTGAGAATTTATCAAACCCAAAATGTTTGTATATATGAGTTCCTTCATAACCTTGTAATGTAAGACAAATTATACTAAATAATTGTATTAGTAGTACCTGCCTTTTGCACACCAGCCAGTGAACTGCAGTCTCCCTGTAAATGCTGATCTGGCAACATTTCTAAACAAAAGCAAAATAATTTCCAATATGAATTTAGGTGTTCGAAAATTCCAATGTTTGTAATTTTCTTAGATAAGTTATACTTTAGATTTGTATAAGTACCTGCATTTTGCACACCAGCCAGTGAACTGTATAGTTGACAGGAATATACCTTGTCCTCTGCCTGGTTATTTATACAATCTAGCTTTGCATGATAAATTGAGACAAATTTACAAGATCTGCAGTACATGAACAATTTGAATCTAACCTGTGGTTACACTTATGTGATCATGCATGTCTTCTTTTTGTTTTGGAGTTGACATAGCTTGTAAAAATTACTTTTTTTAACAATGTTGATTTGTTAGTTTGAAAGCAATAAAAAACCTTTAAAGTAGGCAAGTGAATACAGTTGTGTGCTAATTTAAGAGAAGGAGGCAAGCAATATGTGACAAATGATATTCATTTGGGAGGGTATATCACATTCATTATATTAAAGTGATGTTATGATAATTGGCAGTCCTTCTTGTCCCTCTATATCAGAGACAATATTGTGGCTATATTCAATTAGGTCTGTTACTATTTTCCCCCATCATTCATCAGTTATCTGATTTATGTTCTCATTTAATTAAATGCTAAATGAAATCATCTAATGCAGTAGACCAGGGTGCCAGGAAGTACATGAAGTCAAAAGTGCAATCAAATGAAGCATTTTATGTGATGGGGAGGCCTTTAATCAAATTTGTCACATATAAAAAGATTTCCCAAATGACTGTAACCTGAGAAATAAATTTTGCTAATATGTTTTTAAATGTTTATATAAGAATATCACAGATGTTTCAAACTTGACACTTACAACATGGTAGGACACCAAAAACTCCTTCTGGAAACAGCTGCCTCCTGGTCTGCTCAATTTCTTCATCACTGGGATCATTTACTTCCTCGCCAGGATTCCCCTCTTCCTCTGTTTCTTTCATTTTTTTGAATGCATATTTGAATCCCTTTCAATCACATTGAATGATATTTTTCAAAATAAAACATTTAAGAATTACAAAAAAATGATCTACATTTTCAATAAAGGGGTTTGCAGAATGACACAATAGACTTGCTTTTTGGATGAGATTATGAAGATGCATTTGCAAGAATTATTAGATTGCAAGAACAGATTTTAACAAGAGATTTTAGTATATTGATCAATTAATGTCATAAATATTAATATCCAGATATTCAAAGTAAAATGAAAGAATCTCACCTTCTCAAAGAGTGCTCGTCGTTTTGGTGTCCAGGTCTCATAGGACGACTTGGTAAACGGTGACATAATATCCTTTAGAATAAGAACAAGGACGTTATCTGGAATCTCCAAATTCAAATTTCAAATTTTTTCAAATTCATTGGCATTCAGCAACTAATTACAGGGTACTTAAATTAATTATTATAGTAGTTAATACAGAATATATGACATCTATTTTAGCTAATAACAAATAAGTTGCCTAGGACGCTGGGAGGAACCGAAACGGTTTTCGAGCCTAGCGCCCTAGTTGGTAATAGTTAATCATGCAGTATAACAGTAACAATGGAACAAGTAAAAGTTAATTACAAGTAGAAACTAATTACTAATAATTTTGATTTGAATTTAACATATAACAGAAGAAGAATAGAAACATATTAAGATTAAGATACAGATATTAAGAAAAAAAGAACAAAATACAAAGGGGCAAGAGGAGAGAACAAGGATATAAACGAAGGGGGGGGGTGACACGAGAGTTCTGTTCGTTTTCAGTTTAGAAATCGAAGAATGAGATATTCGGGTTGGTTTAAAGTAAGTGCATTTGGGTTTTATAAATATTTTTGCAGAAGCCAATTTCGGAGATGTTTTTGGAAGAGTCTTTTGACTGGTTTAGAGCGAATATTAAGTGGGATTTCGTTCCAGATTTTAACTCCATTGAACGTAATGAATCTCTTTTTAAGGTTAGTTCTTGCTTTGGGGATAGCAAAATTTTGTTTTGCAGCTTGCCGTGTATCATAGCTATGTCTTGATGTTGTTTTTTGGAAGAGCTGACAAAGAAAATCCATTTGCGTGCCTGTGTTTACGTCATACATAAACTTTGCACATTGCAGGGTGTAACTATCATTGAGGTTTAATATATCAAATTTATGGTAAATTGGTTTGGAGCTTGCTGTGTTTTTAGCAAAGTTCATTATTCGTAGAGCTTTGTTTAGATTTCGGCCCATAGGTTTTAGGGAGGACAGATTTGCACTCCCCCAGTTAATTAAAGCATAGTTGACGTGAGGCTCGATAAAAGAAAAGTATAAGTTCCTTAAGATTTGTGGAGGAACATAATGCCTAGCCTTAGCTAGTATTCCAATGCCTTTAGAAATTTTTAGATTTACCTGTTGAATGTGTTGTTTCCAGCTAATGTCCTTATCTAAGAGTACACCAAGGTATTTTATACAATCCTTTTGAGCAATTGATTTGTTATTAATTGCTAATTTTATTTCATTTGTTTTATTTTTTATCGAGGGAGAGATTATGAGGAAGTTTGATTTATCAACATTTAAGGTCAGTTTATTGGCTACTAACCAGTCTGAAACTTTGCTGAGCTCATCGTTTACGATGAATTCTAATTGACTTAGATTCTTATGCGAGAAGAAGATACTAGTATCATCAGCAAAGAGGTGAAATTTTAGGATGTTTGACGAAAACGGCATATCGTTAATATATAGAAGAAAAAGCAAGGGCCCAAGGACACTGCCTTGTGGGACTCCAAATTTTATATTGCAGGATTCTGATAGAGTGCCATTTATGCATACTTTTTGTGATCGGTTTGTTAGGTAAGATTTAAACCAATTTAGGGTTATGCCTCTTACTCCATAATATTCAAGCTTGTAGATTAGTATATTGTGGTCAACAGTATCAAAAGCTTTAGCAAAATCTAGAAAGATACAAGTTGAAAACTGTTTGTTTTCAACAGCATTTACTAACTGTGTACAGACGTCGAGTATGGCAAGAGAGGTTGATTTGTTTTTTTGGAATCCAAACTGGTGATTAAAAATTATTTTATGCATATCAAGGAACTTTATTAGTCTGGCATGCATTAATTTTTCAAATATTTTATTAAAAATAGGAAGTAGGGAGATAGGTCGGTAGTTTGTAACTTCAAGTTGAGACTTTCCCTTGTAAACGGGCACTACTTTAGCATATTTCAGCATAGTAGGATAGACTCCCGAGCTAAAGGATTCATTGATTAGATCTGTCAATGGTTCTTTTAAAGAATTGCCAATACATTTGATAAGTTTTACGGGTACATCATAAGCATCTGGGGCTTTAGACTCATTTAGCCTTCCTAGTTCATCATGAACTTCAGAAGGATCAACTGGTGATAAAAAAAAGCTAGCAGCATTTGGCTGTGTTAGATAATCTTTATAGTGACTATTTGCCGGACTTAGTTTATTTACAAGATTTTGGGCGATATTAGTAAAGAAATTGTTGAAAGCATTTGCTACACTTTTACGATCCGATAACAAGCTACCTGCAATATTCAATTGGAAGCTGCGTGAATTTTTTGCTTTATTTTTATGAAGAAGGTCGTTGATGCCTTGCCAAATTTTTTTAGAATTATTTTTATAAGTTTCAAAATAGGACAAGTGATACAGTTTTTTGCTCAGTCTTATGACGTGATTTAGCTTGTTTTTGTAAATTTTATAACGTTGGAACCAGAAATTGTCTTTAGTTTTAATAAACTTTTTATAGAGTGAATTTTTAGTTGAAATAGACTTTAAGATACCGTTGGAAATCCAGGGTTTAAGCTGTTGTTTACGTTGTCGTCTGGTTCTTTGTCTCAGTGGGGCGTGTTTATTAATAATAGTTAACAGCTGAGATTGAAACAAGTTATATTTTGTATCTAGGTCATTTGAGTTTACAAGACTAGAATTAAAATCTATTTTATTGATATCATCTATGTAATTTTTATTAACAAAGTTTCGATAATCTCGCGACATTGATATGTCTTTGGTGTTATTTTTACCTTTTCCATCATAAATTACGAAATTGGGTAGATGATCTGAAACCTTATCGATAAGATTTCCACTAACTGCGTTCAGTTGAAGAGAATTGATGAATATATTATCAATTAAACTAGGAGTAGAAGTATCATTTATTCTCGTTGGTTGGATAATTAATGGTTTTAGAAAGTTTGCAAGCATTAAGTTAAGAAAGGAATCAGCACATGGTATTTTATCAAATTTTAGAAGATTAAGGTTGAAATCTCCGCTTAGTATGACTAATTTGTTTTCTCGGCCTATTTTGTTAAGAACAGTTTCAAGGTATTTTAGAAAACCTGAAGAATCTTTGCAGGGATGCTTGTATGCAACACCGATCAAGGTATTTTTTCCCTTAGGGTTATTAATCTCAATCCAGAGTGATTCGAATTCGCAATTTTTATCTTTTGAAGCTTTTGAAAGATCGTCACGTCGAAGAAAAGATAGGTGGTCAGCTAGAAAAAGGCCACAGCCACCCTTAAGGCTATTGCCTGTTAGTCCTTGATAGTCATGGTAGCCTTCTAACCTGAGCTGACGTATACAGGCATTGTTTTGCTTGGTGTGCCAAGTTTCAGTAAGTGCTAGAATATCAAATCTATAGTCAAGGTTACAGAGCAGAGTTTGTAGGTTTCCAAGATTTTTCCGGACGGAGGAGATGTTTGTGTGTAGAATACCCGAGGTATTATTTTTATTTAGGTTTAGCTTTTGAGTAAGTTTATGGAATTCATGGTTATCATAGTAGTTAAAATTAGTGCTGTCATCTAGATTGGTATCAACATCATTTTTGAATAGCATTTCGTGTTCTTTAAAAGCTAGTTTACAAGTTTTAAGGCTATCAAGGTGACTATAGTTTACTAGGGAGATACCCGAGGATTGACATTTACATGAGAAATTGGAGTTGAAAGAAAGAGTAGACAGTTCATCGTTGTCGATCTGCGAGAAAGGAAGTGAAGATAATAGACTAGAGATGCAGTGTGGACATTGCCAAGATGTTAAATGAGAATCAACTTCATTTATACAGAAAGTGTTTAACTTGGCACATTTTTTGTGAATGAGATGAAGGCATTGACCACAGGGAATGGAATTTATGGCAGAGCGGATAGACTTCTTACAGACCGAACAAGTTTTGTCATATCCTGTTGATGCAGATGTGATAAGATTGAATTTGGAGACGGATTTAGCACTTGCAGTAAAATTAAGCTCCCTATTGAGTTTGGCGTCATCAAGGTTTTGAAAAGGAAACACGGTGTTGCGGCATGGGCGGCAAGACCAAGTACTAACTTCGTCGTTTGCGAGAATCTTAAAATCCTTTTTTTTTAAACCTGAACATTTTAAATGAAACCAGAAATCACAGAAATCACAACAAATTGAGTTGTGATTATCGCAGACTATTTTTTTACACCTAGGGCAGAGTCTGTTTTCACTCATTTTTATTTTTAAGGGTTGTTTGTAGGTATTTGAAAGTTACATAAATTAGATATAAAATTAATAAAAACTGTTTTTGAATAATGGCTGAACAGAGGAAAAGGAAAAAAAGTATCTCACTCTATTTTATCCAGGTCCGCAATGAAATTTACCTTAAGGGCTGGGGCCTTTTCATCTTTTCGTAAGAATATTGAGCCATTTCGTGTCCAGATGAATTTAATGTTCATTTCTTGTTTTTTGATCTTCGTTAGGCGCAGTAGGTTTTTGAGACAGCTGGTCAGGCTTTCGTTGATGAAGATTTTTCCTTTGTTTGGGTTATTAGGGTCGGGCTGCAAATCGTAACCGAGATCTGTGGTGCGAAGTTTCTTAGCTTTGGTTTTTGACTCTTTTGACATGAATTGCTCCTTCTTTTTCCTCGATTTGAATTTGACGATTATAGGGGCATCAGGCCTGCGTGAAATGCGATGGCATGCTTCGATGTCGTCTTCCTTTAGTGGGATATCAATTTTTTCTGCTATGTTAAGGACTATTACTTCACAATTTTCCTTATCATCGCGCGGAATACCACCAAACTCAAGCATTTCTCTCCTACCATACTGCTCAAGGTCATCAATTGTTTTAGCACGTTGATCGTCTTTCTTCTCTAGCTTGATGATACGAGAGGCCAAACTTTCGTTTTCCTTTTTCAGTTCAATGTTCTCACGCATAAGATTCCCAACTTGTGTCCGAAAAGTTTCGTATTGGTCGGCTTGAAATTGTTGAGAGTTTTCAATGTCAACCAGTTTTTTTTCAATGTTTGTTAGACGAGAGCCAAGAGTATTTTCTATTTCTGTTTTTACTGTGTCTTGGATTCCAGCAATTGTTTTACCAAGGCGATTTTCCACAGCACTCAAGCTTTGTAAAATGAAGTCTTTGATTTCTTTATTCATCTCCATTTTTATAAATATTATTTAAACTCTGTGTCATTTTAAAACATAAAATTAAAAGAAAAAAAACATAAAAAGAGTTCACCAAATTAGTTATTTGACAGCGTGAAGTATTTCAAGTTCTTTCATGTTACCGCCAAATAAAACACGTCCGCTCACTAGCGCGAAAATACGGTACCAAACTTGGAAAATCTTGTAAATAGATTTTTCTAAAATTTTGCAAGTCAATTGTAAGTGTTATTCATGTACAACCAATTATTAATTTCAACTATAATAAGTTTTTATCTTTATATGTAACTATGAGACTTACTTGAACCTCAGAGGCTTCACCTTGTGTCTCTGCTTCATCAGTTTCAGCTAGGATAATTGCCAGAAACTAATCCCCCAACATCCTCCCACACACTACGCCCATGGATAAAGATCTTATGAAATATTTGCAAGCTTTTACTTTATCGTTATACCCAAAAAGCTATGGTTATTCTCTGTCATTTATTTCGTTGCTAAACATCTGATTTTGTCGAAAATTATACACGGTTG